TCAGACCCCTTTATGGTTACGGGAAACATAGAGCAAGATCATTGTATGTGGCTTCCTAGCTGGCAGTGCCGGTCTACCAAACTTACAGCTTCACAGCGGGCGGACAACTGCACATGCCATATGTCCTCAGGTCACCTCCTGTGCCGCAGTTTTTGCCGCATAGCAACACTCGTGCCGCCGAAGGTGTGTACATATCCCCCTGATCTGAATGGATTTCATCAATCTGATACCATTGGCTTGAACCTACACAAGAAATGGCCCGGACCCTCGCAAGCAGCATGAACTTGAATGGACAGGCTCCAGCATCCCAAACTCCGAAGCGGCAGTTGTACCCAACCCGGCCTAACCTGAATCTCAACAGTCCGACAGTGCGCAGGAACCCTAGCAACACCCAACCAATCCTGCTCAGGCCTTTACTTGCTGGCGGTCCTGCTGGTTCTTCTACTGGCAATAGGCATGCCTATTCACTGAACATTCTGCTCGCCATTGCAAAAAAACCAGCCTCTCAAGATGAAGACTCCCTGATCGGTGCTATCACACTAATGGCAACGGATGCGGCATCCTTTCGTAAGCTTTACAAACACAGCCCTGGCGAGTTTCAAGAGATGGTGCACTATGTGCATAAAACACTTGGGGTATGTGGTCTAAACTGCATATGCTTCTTCGTTAACGCATCTCTTTATAGAAGGACACCTTTACCGGATTAATCACACGCCTGCACCAGAACATTATCTTAAAACTCAGTGCCTACCTGGAAGAGAAGGGGAATGGGGTGAATAGGCCTGAACGCGAAATAGGTGAAGCTGCATTGAAGGATTGGTGGAATGTTTGGTGCAAGTTGGCGGGCAAGCCGGTTCCAGAGGAGATTGCATGGTAGAGCTGTGGACATTCTTTGTGAATGTGGGTATTATGCATAAATGAACTGTCAAACTTGCAGTACAGTCAGGGACAGCATGAAGCCTTCTCCAAATTCCCGCTGCGGAGTGCACACACAGAGAGCCCGACGTGCAGGACACACTCTGTTGCGCTGATGCACTCAAGTCTCCCATAACGGTGATGCACACTCACCGTGCCTGCCGCCCGCCGCGGTGTGGGCACCGCTCTCGAGCTCAGACCGCCCCGACGCGGACTCCCTGTCGGATACTGCGCCCCGACGCTGATGTGTCTAGACGTGCGTCGACGGCCGATAGCCGAGGGGGAGAGGACGTCTGAGAAAGGGGTGATGAGGGAGAGTAAGGGCTCGAGTTCCCTAGGATGGGTGACCACGACCGTGTGCGCTGCGATACCGCTGACTCTGCTACACTGCGGGCCAATATATCTCGTCGCACTCGTAGATGCAGCCGCAGACACAGACACGGACACAACCACCGACACGGACGCGGACACAACCGCAGACGCAGATGCGGACGCAGTCAAGGGCGCAGGCACAAACGCAGACGCAGTCGACAATCCTTTATGCTTGGTCGGGAGCGGAGCGTAACTCACCAATAAGCCAAACGCGACAAGACGTCCACAGACGTTGACAAGCGGGGCCGAGGTTTAGAGGGAAGGGAGTGGGAGTTTTCTGGGGAGTCTCCTGGACCCCCCGTTGACTATGTACAGTGTCCTATCTACGCAACGGTACTCGGGGCCGACCTACTTGGCCTGTGCGACATTGCGATTGAGGCACACCTCGAGCAGCGTGCGGTGGGTACGATCGCGCTGTCGCGCTCTGCGCCACTATCTCTCTTAAGCGTATTACCGCCCCGGGGCACGCCCCGCGCAGCCGCGTCCATTCCTCCTCCGCCCCAGCGCGAGTGGCTTCGACCCGGGCCTCCAACGCAGGCACCCCAACTCCAGTGCAGCCTGCGGCGCGACATGCCTCCAGTGCGATGCGACATACCTCGGGTCCGGCAGTTTGCTGGCCTCAGAAGCGGTGGATGCTCATCAACGCGTGCCCCGCATGGCCCCGAGCCTCCCCGAAGGCCGCCTGGACGCCCACGCACCACCCCCATTCGCCACCCGCGAGTCGAGCAAGGCGAGCCGCGCTAAGCAGCCCTGACCGAGAGCGCCAAGCCCCGCCAAGCATCGGGGTTCGAGGGCAGTACGAAACACCCGATACGCTTGTCGGGGGTTGCGGCGCATACGCCCCCGCCCACCAATCACACCGCATGGTACGCGCGGCCCCGACAGCCTAGGCAAGGCCAGTAGAGCGCGGCCCCCATAGTGGCCCAATCATCCTTCCCGTATGGCTCCGGCCCCTCCTGTATATACGCGGGCCCCGGGCACCAGGAAATGCACTTCCTTTTACCCCTTCAGAGCTCAAGTTTGCATTTGCGCCTGCGTCTGCGACTGCGATCCCGACCGCATTCGCGAGCCTCCTCCAATAGCGCCCCGACACCCTCGTCTACGTCGAATACAGTGAGCACTTCCTATATGTCACAGCGCACCGGTATCCCGCCTCTCATCGCGTCCGCCGACTAGTGTCCGCGCAATCCCTTACCCCTGGGTCGGGAGCGATAAGCTCGCTCGACCCCCTCCCTCCGCTGTGCCTCCGTGTTTGTAGGGAACTCGGGATCGTACTCGGAAACCCCCACACACACAAGTCACTTCTTGGGTCTCGTCCTCTTGGCCCATCGACCCCGGCGTCCTAGCGGCCGTTACGGGAGGCTTGAGTGCATCAACAGCCACTAGGACTTCGGGGTCAATAGGCCAAGAGGACAAGACCCGAGAAGATCCCGAGTTCCCTACAAATGCGGGGGGCGTGAGGACGGGCCGTGCAAGCATACCACTTCTGGCCTGGGAGGAGGGAGTTGCGCAGACGCTACTTGTTGGGCATGACACAACATGGGATATCAGGGTGCGTGGACTTCGGGGAGGTACTCACTGTATGCAGCAGAGCGAGGACGTCAGGGACACTATTGGGGAAAGACTCGCTGATGCTGTCAAAGTTGCGGTGATGTGTCTAGACGTGCATCGATGGCTAATAGCCGAGGGGGAGAGGACATCTGAGAAAAGGGTGGTGAGAGAGAGTAAGGGCTTGAGTTCCCTAGGACGGGTGGCCGCAACTGTGTACGCCAAGGGGGAATCTGCATTCTCACAGCCCAAGGGCGTAGGTATTTACAGGGCCAGCCAAAACCGTGCTATGGTGATCAGAAAGTTTCTACGGAATATCTGTTGCGGAGGGGACTGGCGCCCACGATGCACCAGCCGCCTGCCGCGTAAACGCGGAACATGCCCATGTGCCCCGACGGGCCGGCCACGCGGAACGCACCCCCTCCGCTCATGTCTGCCCATGCGGTCGTGAAATCGCGCGATAAGCAGCTCAGACTCGTCCGCGCGTGTCTGCCTAGGTCTCGCTGCCATGCCCCAGATAAGGCCTCGCGGTTTGCCCTGAGGCTTCCACAGCTGTGATACAGACTGCAGAACTGCCAAGATGCAGAACTGCCAAGATGCGGAACTGCCAAGACGCAGAACTGCGAAGGCGCGAGGCTGCAAAGTTGCATACTCGCTGATCCGCAAGGGATCGAAACGCAAAAACAAGGGCCGGCCAACAGTGGGGCAATAACGGGCACATCATCGGGGCCCAAGTCAGGGCCTGACACCTGCGTAGAGGTAGGTGTTGGGGCAGTTGAGCTCGAGAGCGATGCCCACACCGCGGCGGGCAGCAGGCACAGTGCGTGCACATCAGCGCCTGCCTCCTGCTTCCGTTCTGGAGTGCACACACAGAGGGCCCGACGTGCAGGGCATGCTCTGTTGCGCCCACCTCCTGCTTCCGTTCTAGAGTGCACACACAGAGATGCTCTACTGCACCCGCCTCCCGCTCTGGTTCTGGAGTGCACACACAGAAGCTGTCCCTCTATTACCATCCCTCCATCATCCTTCCTGTCTAATAGGTAAACTGAATATCTCACTCTTTCGCCCTCATCCTT